AGCATAAGTTAAACTTGTCCTCACGAATACAAATTACACAAGAAACAGGGTGGAAGTACAGCATGCCAAAGATGAGAATACTTCTCTAGTTGGAAAAAATCTTTTTGGTTCGTTTCACTCTTATTTCAACCCACCCTAAGATTCGCAGTGGAAGTCTCTAAGAGGTAAGACATCTACTAAACATAAATCCAAAGGCAGTGTATTCATATTGCTCCTGGAGTCCTTTCCACAAACCTGAATTTGAAGCTGGTATCGTGGGTGAGCAATTCTCCTTTTCACACGTTCCCATCATTGAAGTTAAGGTCATGGTAGGAATTTCACTACTACCTGAGAACAGAGAAAGTGTAATATGACATAGTGGCCTATATTCAAATGAAAAAAATATAAACGACACAGTTAAAAAATAAGATAAATAAAAGCTACCACCACTACTAGAACTTGGCACCTGACTATGTTGCTGAAGTCTATAGTGCGTCCGTTTGGAACTCTGAACATATTTTGCCTATTGAAGCAATTTTATAAATAGAGAACAGGTTCATTGGCCAACCCACTAAAAGCCTTTAGTGGCTGAGATAAAGTATTAATAATACTGGAGACCTTAACCACCATGGATAACAGTGTTTCTCTAGTCAAATGCATTCAGGGTCTGATTTGGGATGCCAGGAACGTATATTCCCCAATGCAGCTGGTACATCCTGTACTCAAAGACATTGGTCTTTACACCTGAGGTAGAGATGATAGATGGTGCTTGTTCTAACAGCAAGGAATTGAGTTCCCGGGAATGATGACATGGAATATGGCCGGGAAGCAAGAAACTTTAGATAAATCCCCATTCAGAGACTTCCTTTTCTCCCATCGACCAAGGGAGCCCATCTGCTGGACGACTCTAGCTAACTCTCTGGTCCTGAATGAAAAGGGAGATGGCAATGGTTTCCTCCACATGCATGAAGCCAAGTTTTACAAGACTTCCTTTTTCCTTTAAGTTAGGAACTCACACAGAGTGTGTTCATTTTTAAGTGCAAAGAGCTAGAGTTATATTTCAGTACATTCCAGAGAAACTTTCAGAGGCGCAACCTTGATTGCTGGACTTATAAACTAAGATGAGGGTTAAAGTGACAACAGGGGATTCGAGTTAGGAGGGACGTGACAAGGACGTGGGTCACGGCTAGGCTGGCTGGCAACATCCATGTGGAGCAGAGCGGGCCGAGCCTACAGTAAGAAAGGGAGGCCCCAAGGTTTATGACTCTGTCTTTCTTTGCATGTGAAGGAGAGAAGGGTGGGTGCATCCCTGTCAACGCTGACTTGGGTGTGGGCTGGGTGTCAGGAGGCTAGAAAGAGAGAGAAATGGAGTTTCTGCATGAGCCCTGGCAGGCATTCCCTTGCTTAAAGCATAATTACTGAGGCACCATGCTGGGTGCTGAAGGTCAGCAGGCAAAGCCTTAGAGAAGCAACAGCTAATAAGAGAGCCCAGAGAGGTATTTCCATATAACCGAATGGAGGGAAGAGCTGCAGTTAAAGTGCTGCAGTACAGTAGGGACATGATAAAGGAATCCTAGTTCAGGAACAGACACAACAGAAATCCTTTTGGAGAAGGGTCCATCAAAAGACATCAGAGAATTTACACCCAGGAAAGTGAAACAGAGAAAAAACAGACACTTCCAGGTACAACCGTAATAAGCAGCACAAAGCACACAGGGCAGAGTGCCTGTGTTGGCAGCTTTCAAAATTTTAAATCAAGCATCCCACGTGGATGATGAACCAGTGAGAAGAAGGAAACGTTCGCATTCATTGCATAAAGATACCTTTAAAATATGACAAAGAAAAACATTTGTGCCTAGATTCACAAATCAACAATTACTAAATACATTCTGAGCTCAGGAATACATTTCAACCTTAGACTTGCTCTGCACTGCATCACTCAATGGTATCATGCCCCATACCCAGTAGGAACATCAAGGTCAATCTAAATAAGTCACACTGATGGATCTTTTCTGCAAACACTCTATGATTCACTGGTAATTCAGTAAAAGTGGAGTGTGGTTATTATTTATATAATAATATATTTTTCCTTCAAATATTTATACTTTCAAAACTTTGGGAATTACTTGAAGAAGTAGCACTTCTGGAAACACAGTAAAGTCTTGCATGCTGCTAGAACTAAAAACTAATACTGAGGTATGAAATTTAGGAATATTCTCAACTATGATCACTTTCCGTCTGTGGATGTGATGCTTCTATATGGTGCCTTGGAAACTTAAATTTAGTCATTCAATTTCATGATCTCATATTCTGATAAAGGTACTACCATAGCCTTAGCAATTAAGAAGTGTGTTCAAGGCAAGAAAGATGATCATATATAAGGCCCCAAACCGAACAAACTGCCCTGTCATGAAGTCAATTCTGACTCAGAGTGACCTTTTTGGGGGGGTTTCCAAGGCTGTTAAATTTTTACAGGAGTAGATACCTCAACTTTCTCCCACAGCGCAACTGGTGAGTTTGCACTGATGACGGCTGACCTTGCGGTTAGCTGTTCCTCCTTTACCTGTCAGTGTCACGGGGGCTAGGCAGGAAGTGTTACCTCTAAATGTAATGGCTTATGAGGGGAGTCAGTTTGTGGTGTCTGCTCTCTACAACCCACGGGCAATGGAAATCATCAGCAAAGGGTAGAACTACCACGGCCTTATGGAAAAGCAGGAGAAAGGAAAAGAAAGTCAGAAAGGAATTTAAGGAAAAAAATCAACAAAAGGTATGAAAGGGAAAAAAATCATTAGAAAGTGAAATAAGTAAGAAATACATAATAACATAGAACAACAAACAAGCCCAAACACCCCAGAAACCACAGAGTGCCAATGGGTAGTGTTTTACCAGTTACACAACAAAAGTCAAGAGTATACAGAAATGCTGATAGCTAATGCTGGATCCCTTAATTGCAGTATTTTGTGCATTGTGTCTATGTCAGATTTCTTACTACCTAATGGTTGACCAGGGTGTGAGTCCTAGTAGTGTCATGATTACAGAGTTAGTTGCCATCCACATAGTTGGCTGTTCGGAACCACCAGCAGCTGCTCAGGAAGAAGCCTGGGTTGTCTACTCCGGCAAAGGGTGCCAGTCTCAGAAACCCACGGGCGTTGCTACGCCAGCGCTGACTCGATGGCAGTGAGAATGGTTCACACATCAAAGCACTTATCATTTTTTATTATTCAAATATAATGTGACGTTAAACTGTGACTGAACATGCATGGAAAAAGGCTTCTCAATGTATAACAATCCAAGATGTCCTGTGGGCCGATGGGCAGTCAAGGAGCAGAGAAGAAGCTAGAAAATAGTGTCAAAGCTATTCTACACGGAATCTGTTGTCTTCTGGAATGTAGCCAGCGTTGCTGAAGCCTTCTTACTGAGACCAAGCTTAGACGGCATTTCCTGCATTTCTTATGTAAGTATTTCCCTATGCACATTAATAACTAATGTGCAGAATGAGGGTACTTCAAACTCAGGAGTTCTTGGTAGTAAACAAGATCATGTTTCAATGGACTGAAAGAGAGCATTTCTGTGTTCAATGTTTATCTGTAACCCAGTTAACAAGCTAAGCACATGTCATTTCTGCCATTAGAAAAAGCTCATTTAGTGGCTCGAGCAATACCTGTAATAGGAGTTCTATTTTTCAGCCTATCCACTTCCATAGTGAAGTCATCCTTCAGAAACAGAAACCCAATAATGGAAAACAGGTAAACCAGGATGAGAGCAAGGACTGCGGTGAGAACAATGGAGCGACCATTCCGTGTGACGCTTTTTATGACATTGAGGAGGGTCTCTTCTCTGTACACCAAATCAAAGAGCTACAGAAATGAAAGGGGAGACACGAAAAAATATTCAACAGAGCAAAAGGTAGATAAACACAAAGGTAACTACAAATACAAGCCACTCTAGGTTATCTGTGAAGAAACAATTGTTTACATTGCAGCTAGAGAATGAACCCGACACACA